AAAAAAAAACAGAAAGAGCAGGGAAGAAGCACCAGTTTGTTGCATGCTGATCTTACTGCATGACTCTTTTGCTTTCCTAAATCATTCCTTCCAAGGAAAAGTCAGCGCACATCTATGGTGCCCCGCACCAGATAGACAAGGATGGGCCCCACCTCTGTCCTCCATGGCTACCTCCCTCTTGGGGCCTGCACCTCCATCCATCTCCCTAGGCCTTGTCAGGACACTGCCTTCTGCCGGCCCTGCGCTGGATCAGCAGAGTCGTTATCGGCACAGGTGCCTCCCGACCTCCTGCTTGAGGTCTGATGAAAAAGAACCACAAAAATTTAAAAAACAAATATTTAAAATGTATTTCAGTACACCTGTGCAAGAACAATCGCCTGGCCATTTTCTTGTTTTCCTTTTCCTTTCATGGAGCTGGCATCATTCTCTTCCCTGGCTTCCTCCACCAAACTACATAGCCGGTCTCATGTGTCAGTCCCCAGTTCGCAGCTGATAACTCTGCTGGACTCTGGCTGCTTGAATCCAGCAAGGCCCAGGGCATCATGGAGAGTCTCCAACTAAAGCCACTTCCTGGTTCTACTTCTCCTGGGGTGGACACAGCCTGGAGAGCTCATCCTGCCCTGGTATAAGAAAACCAGGTAAACTGTGAAGTGGGCACTTTCCTGACCCCTCCTGAGCCTTGGGACAACCAGGCCACCAGCACCTATGAGGACCAGGTCGTCTGGTGGCGTGGTCACCCTATGACCAGCAGGAAGGGGCCATCACAGCAGGGTGCCTGGGGGTCTTCTGACCTCCTCCGGCTGTGCAGCTAAGTGAGGCCATGACTGCCTGGACCCTCAGGATCTCAAGTGAGCACAGGACACTCCAGCTGCCAGCCTGGGGAGCATGGGAGTACAGAGTCCTGTGCCAGCCCAGCCAGACCCACTTGAACTCTAGCCCAGATGCCCCGCCATTGAGGGGCTGCATGCAGTGAAACATCCAGATGCCTCTGCCACAGCTCTAAGACCCTCCAAGGGCCTCCACCTCGGTCTTGGCACCCCTCCCTGCCCTGGCTCTACCTCAGGCAGACTCTGGGCTCTGCTGCTCACTCGCCCTGCCACCACCGCTCATTGACCTGCATCCCACCTGCAGCCCCTTTGGACACAAAGGCTGGTCCTCCTGCAGTGCGTGTGGGTGACCCTCACTGAGTGGAGGGACAGCCGTCCCCTTGTGATACAAAGACCCGGAGCTGGACCCAGAGGGAGGATGGTTCCGGAAGACCACAGTATGACATCTAGGCAAGTCCCGGACTGCACTGAGCCTTGGTCTCTGTCAGCTCCAAAGTGGGCATGGCACTGGGCATGGTCAGCTGAACAGAGATGTCCTTGTCCCAGTCCCAGACACAGAAAGTCATCCCTTGCCTGCTCAGAGATGACCAAGAGAGTAGCCTAGGGGTGGGAGGTGACTTTGGATCTTCTGGGTGGCCACATGTCAGCACTAGGGTCCTTGGAAGGGTAGGAGAAGGGCTGGACTCAGAGGTCACAGGAAGTCCCCAGAAGAAGGGGCCAGGAAAGTGCTTCTCCTACACAGCCAGGCGAGGGCTCAGCCAAGCCCTGTCAGACTCCCAACCCCAGGCTGTGCAGCAGTTGTGGCATTTCAAGCCATGACAGTGTGGCACCAGTGACAGCAGCTGCGGGGGTAGCACACGGAAGAGAACCTCTCAGCGTGGCATGAAGACTGAAGGGAAGACTAAAGCCATTCTCCCAAGCTGTCCCCAGGAGCCTGCACTGTGCTCCTCCTCCTCTGCTCCATGGCTCCACCCAGCATCACCAGGTGGGGTGGCTGGTGGCCCAGAGTCGGGGTACACGAAGGGTTCAGAGAGGGACATGGAAAAGGGGCATCCACACTGAGGTGGGCAGTGCTGTGCAAACCTCGTCACAGGTGTGAAGGACCCCTCCTGGCCCATCCCCACCCACCAGGCTCAGGACGTGCTGGCCCCAGCCTTCCCTCTCCTGTCCCCATGGTGTTCACTCTCCAGGCATCTCTGTGACATCTGTTCTGTGATACATTTCCTATCTATGAAAGCTGCTGGGATATCTCCGGTTGAAAGGAAGTTTTCCATCTAAGATGAGTGCACTGCCCTTTTCCATGACTCCCCATCGTGGAGGGCTCCACGGTGGTCAGTGCAGACTCGAGGGCTCCGAAAGTTCCTCAGAAGCAGACAGAGCCCACAGTGTTAGGCGCCTGTGGGTAGGAGTTGCTCCAAAGGCAAAGTGGCAGCAAGGCACCCCAGGGCAAAGTGTAGTTGCTTTGTAGGGGAACTGGGCTCATGGTCGGAGAGGGAAGCCAAGTTTGCAAGCTGCCTCAGTTTACCCAGGAGTCCCATTCTGAGAGCAGGTGCAGGGTGGGAACCATAGGTCCAAAGCCAGAACAACCTCTGCAGCCTCCAGCAGGTGCAGGAGAGGGGCTCTGCCTGAAGCCCTCAGCCCTACTCCACAGTCTCTGGGGCAGCAGATCTGCAGGGCTCGGTGTCTGGTAAAAGAGCCAAAAGCCAAGACCAGATGAGAACCACAACAAGCCTTTCTTGTACGGACAATCTGCTGGGCTGTCTCCGAAAAAAGGAGAGACAGCGATATGGCCTGGACAGGGAGAGCTTCTTACAGGAGCCGGGGTGGGGTTTGTAGGAGCTTGGGTGGGGTTGAGTGATGTAGTGGCTAGGACTGGAGGAGCGTGTGACCTCACTACTTAGCTAGGAGGTAGCTAGTATCAGGTTACTCTTTGGGTGGGAAAAGGGGCATGCTGGGAAGAAGGTCGTCTTTAGGTGGGTGAAGCCATATTTTTAAGTGGGAAGCAGGGCATTATGGGAAGGAGAAGGCTGTTATTTTATGTAGCAGCCATCTTAAGGCGGGGGGGAATCTAACACTCTGGTGGGCCATTGGGTACGGAGGTGAACAGTAGGCCACAGTGACACTGTAGGCAGAGAGGGAGGCAAGAAGACCTGGTGAGGACTCAGCTGGCCCTACACTTGGGGACCCCAGTATAACTGTCTTCTGCCGACTCCAAGAATCATGAAGGAGTTCCAGGTCCCCACTTGGGGCACACAGTGTCCCCAGGCAGGATGGGGATATCTGTCCACAGGGCAGCCCTGTCTGGAGGAACCCGTGGTGAGGATGAAGCCCAGGGCCAGTGCCAGAGGAGACCAAGCCTTCTGCAGTGACCCGTGGTGGCACTGAGGTGGAAGGGAGAGGGGACAGCCTCATACCTAGGACCGGTTCTTATGTGATTCCCATGGTGACTGCAGGCTGTGTCCCGGGCAGAGCAGAAGCAAGTGAGCAGGGAGGTGTGAGGACAGCAGCAAGGACAGTCCCTAAGCTTAGTCCAGAGTGTGGCCTGGGCCAAGAGAGAGCCAGCTGCCTGCCCTGACCCCATCCCTGCAGGGTGAGTTCAAGGGCGCAGAGTCCCCAGCACTCTGTGCAGGTGAAGGGCACAGCCCCTGTGCACAGTGATGGCTCCACAAAGGCAGGAGTGGGCCTGCACCTCCGGCCCTGCCAGGGCTGGCCTGCTGCCTGCCCCATGGTCTGCGGGAAGCCAGGAAGCAGAGAAGGGAGCTGGGGCCCAGATCCCTCCTGTCCACCTGGCCCGGAAGATGCAGTGCCAGACCAGACCCCTCTTCCGAGCCCCTTGCTCAGCCTCGGGATGGCATGGAGCTGCAGGATCTGTGGACTCAGCCTGCTTGGGGCCACCTGCCATTTCGTGCCAGCCAGTGGACACCTCCTACTTGCGCCACAGCCCAGAATGACAAGGAGCCGTGGGCCCGGGAGATTTATTAAAGACCCGAGCATAATTTTCCATTAACATTTCCTATTTTGGCATCTTAAAGAGAGTGGAAGTTGATTTCGGTTCAACATCCTGTGGGGAAATTAGCTCATTTTGCTAACGTATCTTAATAATTACAGTGACATCAAGGTTAATTGCTTAATCTGGTTGCCACGGTGCAGGCCACAAACTCCCCACACAATCTGTGCTATAATTAGTGCCAGGGCGTTGGTGTTGGGAAGCCATTTTCATGGGAACCACAGAATCAGGCGAGCAGGGAGGTGAGAGAGAGGACCTCGTGGCCGACTCTCCACATAGCCAGCGAGCCGCGGAGCAGCTGGGGTGTACGTGGATGTCCATGTTACAGTGTCTGGCTGTCCTCCCGCACCTGCTCTTTGCAGGGGGACCAGGGGAGGGATTCTGTCCCCAAGCCCCATGTGCTCACTCCCGTCCATCCCACATGGCAATGCCCTCCCCACAGAGCCCGGTGCAGGGAGAGACAAGGACTCAGGAACATGGAGCCCCAGGCAGCACCTCAGACGTACACTGAGGATGTCGAATCGTCTCGAGAGAAAGTGAGGACATATGGCCCAGGCCCTGGCCACCTGCAGACTCAGACAGGACCCCAGTGGTTCCTGCCAGAGGACACTTGGTCAAAGTGAGGTGGCAGGAGAAGCAGAATAGGGCAGAGTCTGGGGCTCCACTCGGGCACACAGGGAGGTCCTGGACCGGTCCGGGAGGCCTGGCGGAGCCTGGATTCACCTCCCACTGTGCTCAGCAGCCGCACTCACCTGGGACAAGGGCTCCGGCTGCCTATGTGAGAAGGGGCGCCAGACCCTACCTCCGCACTCCCAGGTTGCCTGCGGGAAGGCAGGGAAGTGTCTGTTCTCCACCAGCTGCAATGTTGCTCAAGACTTTTTATAGATCCCTGTTATGGACTGCACTGTGTCCTGCCTCAACGTTCCGACATGGATGCCCTAAACCTACTACAACTGCTGAGATGGGTCCATTCTAGAGGGGCCCAAGGCACAGTACAGTCACAAGGGCAGAGTCTGGTGGACAGGGTGACATCCTCGTCAGAGGGGAGAGACAGTGGAGAACGTGAGCTGTCTTTATCTTTCTCTGTCTCTGTCTCCCTCTCCCCTTCCCCCCTTCCTCTCTCTGTCTCTCCCTCTCTCTCCTTCCGTCTCTCTAAGCACTCAGAGGAAAGGCTGCGTGAAGACACGGAGCAGTGAGAAGTTTGCTGTCTGCAAGCTGGGTCCAGGCTCCTCCCCCACTAGCCTGCCCGGCACCCTGACCTTAGACTTCTGGCCTCCAGGATTGTGAGGAATCAGCCCACCCTGGAGCCTTGCGTTCTGGCAGCCCAGGATGACCGAGGCAGTGGCATTCATCATCTAAGGGAATTTCTTTTTTTATTCTTGTTTTGCTGGGTTTATTTCTTGTTTTAATTGTGGATGGATGCCGGATTTCATCAAACGCTTTCTCCGTATCATTTGAGAAGATTGTAAGCTAATGATTTAATCTTGACCAGTCTGAACTCCAGAAGAACCCTCCAGACAGCAGGAGGCATCACCCTTTGCACACACACTCTTGCACACACCTCTATCTCCTGGCTGTGTCCGCCTCTCTGGCTCCCTGACCAAAGTCCGAGCCCACCTCACTACTTTCACATGTATGAACCCTCCTTTCAACTCGGGGAATGTCCTCTCCTCGCTCGAATGTTTGGCCTCGGCAAACCAAAACCACTCTAGTTTTAGGGCTGTCGTTCCAGCTTTGACTGCAAAAGCTTGGTTTCAAAGTCAGTGCCCACATTTAGGTGAGGGCTGCTCTGCCCTCCTCTTTCTCACAGGCACACTATCTGTGCCAGCGGGATAGCTGCCTTAGGGCTGGGGTGGGGCGGGGCATCGAGGAGGGAATGCTTACCGGGCCCCCACACTGCTGCGGCTTTTCCTGTCCCGGACTGATGCAGATGCTGACCTCCTCAAAGTTCCCTGAAAATCAGGCTCTGCCAGTTTATCCACCCAGCCACACACTTACCCATCCAAATGTCTATCCACCATGCATCTAACCTCCCATCATCCATCTCCTCATCCACCCATCTACCCACCCATCCACCACTCATTTATCCATCTGTTCATCCACCCACCCAGCCAACTACCCCACAGGTGCAGCGTGCACTCTGACGAGGCGTGGCAGCAGGGAGGAGGTAGCACCTGGCTATGGAGCTGCCTCCTGGGCCTTGTCTCTGGGCAGATTTGGTATAAACCCAGCGACTGTCCCCACCCTGGCCTGTGGTGGGCACCAGTTGTGGGCACACAGACTGTGTCCTTCCTTCAGAGAAGCAGTAAGATGCTGCTGTCCTGGAAGAGCTGTGTCTCAGGGGAAGGCTCAGCAGCTCTTGCATTGATGAAGATGGACACACAGCCCTGGGATCACTGGCGCTTTCCCAGGCAGTGTCCATGGCAACAGAAAAGAGCAAACAGAAGCATCCTTCCACAGCCAACAGGAAATTCATTTTTAAGATCAACACCTTTCCAGAGGTCCAGATGCTTCTGGGTTCTCAACAGCATGGATTCATATGTCTCTACCTGTCTCCTTCCATGCAGAAAGTAGCGGAGAGCCTAAAACAATTTCTAAGTGGAATCCATAGAGTTGTATTCTTTGCTGAGGCCCAGGCTGTGCGCTTACTGTGACGCTGAGACTAACACAGGTGGTGAGCTGTTCATTTCCAGGGAATGTTCTGGAAAGATCCCTGTCAGATTGGAAAGCCCAAGGGGTCTCTGTCTCTTGGACACAGGAATAGTGATGTGCCTGTCATGAATCAAAGGTTTCCGAGAGAAACTCCCAGGTGAAGACCCACTCCTTGCTGATCTGCAGACCTGTGGCCTCTCTCCAGACTCACTGGGAAGGAGTCTCACCAGGGTGGAGCTTTGAGGCTGGCCTTGGCCTCTCCCCTCCGGGTGACACAAGGACTTAGCTTGCTAATGTCCTTGGGACACTTAAAAGCATTTATTATGTCCATGAAATTGTGAAATGCCAATAAATACCTACCGATTTGAAATACCACGAGCAGCTTTCTCTGAGGATGATTTAGTAAACACAAACTTAGCCACCAAACAGCTGCCATGGTTGTCTTCCACTGAGCTGATGTCAGTAGAAGTTTCCCAGGTGCCACGGAGTTGTTGCCCTGCTCAGAGAGGGAGAAGCAAGGGTGATGGTCAGACAGACTCGACTCGAGCCCCAGCACTGACCCGACCCACTGGGCTGGGTGAGCACGCCTCTTCTTGGACAGATGACCCTGTCGCACATCCTGTGGAGTTACCCAGACTGAATGAGTCTATGTCTATACGTGGCACCATTCATTGCTCTCACAACACAGGGCGCCCAGCACCCTCTGAACACATGCATGCACCCAGTCGGTGCCTGCTCAGGGTCTGGAGCACTGTGTGTCCTCTGGAGACAGTTAAGGCACTGCTTGGGCAGTAGTTCTTTCTCCTCCTCCAGGCCGCTGTGAGTTTCATTGCATCTATGTTCCCTAAAAGTGTTTGTTTCCATGAAACTCTGCACCGACCTCCTCTCGTCCATCTTTAATCTGGTTTGTGACGGAAACCATGCTGCTCGTTCCCCTCTGATGAGAACGGCCTGACAGCTGGACCATTGATCTGTGTCCTACCTTCCCCTCAGTGGTTGCCCATCACCAGCACCTGGCCAGAGCTTCAGCTGTGAAGGTGGGTTTACAGCCCCATTGCCTCTTATTTAAGTGTTCTCTCTACAGGGCCAGGGCCCTGAGACTGGGGTCTCCAAGGACAGCTTCAAGGTTCCCATTGCTGCAGCCTCGCAGGAAGCCACACTCCTGCACAGCTGCTGGTGGCTATGGGCAGGGCCTGAGCTAAGCACAGTCCTGTCCTTCCCTTAGGGACACAAGAAAGGTGGGCAGGGCCCTGGGCATCCACTTGGCCTTGGCTTCTGTCTCTTCAGCCCACGGACATGGAGAACGCAGGCAGCGCCACTTGGTGTCTGGAACAAAGAGACTGCATTGGCTCCATTTGTCCTTGCTCCAAAGGGTCCAGGAGGGAGAACTATCCCCTGGGCCCCGGGAGAGGGACAGGCTGCTTCTGTCACTGCTCCACAGCTGCTGGCGTTGGTCCCCACCCATCCCACATCCCCCAGTTCCCACCCTCCCTGTCCACCAGCATGGCCTGGACCCACCAGGTCTCCCTCAGCCCGATCTGGGAACCAAAACCCCTTGGCCATCACCTCCAGAGCCTAGTTCTTCCTGTCTCAGTTTCCCAGGCAGCCTGAGGATGAGAGTCAGGAGACCAAGGCATGATGGAAGAGGTTTGGGGTCCCAGGGCCTCTGAGGGACACCTCACTGCTTCCCCAGCCTCACCTAAGAGCCTATGTTGATAGCGAGAGTGGAGGAGGTGGTGAGGGTCAAGTAGGGAGGCAGCGTCGCAGCAAGTGGAAAAGCAGACAAGGCTCACATGAACAGGGAATGGCCTGTGAGGACCCGGAAGTGCCTGGGTCAGGATCGGGGTGTGGGCAGGAAGAACGTCAGCAGCAGATACAGCAAGACCACATGTCCAGCTTCGGGAGTGTCTGGACCAAGAGGCCAAGGCCACCCCACCCTCTGTTCCCAGGAACCCCAGAAAGCAGTGATATCACCCCATCTTCCCAGGGGCAGCTGGAAGGGGCCCCACAACCCCACATGGCTGACCACAGGGTGTCCTCTTCAAGCCACAACCTGCGAAGTTGCCAGGGTCCTGGATGTGGACTCAAAATCTCTTCCTGAACAGGGAGATTGGATCACAAAAACTGTCCACAAAAGAAGCTACAAACAATCTGTCACCCCAAGGAGAATAATTAATCAAATGCCAAATGGGGAAAACCAAGAGTTTTGAATAAATGTAGAGATACAGTTATAAGAGCAAAATATTATCATTTGTCCAACATAATTATTTTCTTGGAAACCATCGATGATTAATAAGCCACATTATAAATATGCTCCTGAGCCTCAATTTCATCTCTCCAGTCTAATTAACATGCTAGGGAATTGCTCTTTTGGTGGGCAAAGACATTTAAAATATATATTTCATGAAATCCAAGTTATTTGTCATAAGCTCCAAGAGTAAAAAATAAAATATGGAGAATGCTACAGTCATTTGAATACTTTATGATGTGACTGTGTTCACATACCCGAGTTCTTCTGACTCTGGAAGCTCAGGACTTTGAGCCAGAACCCTGTGGCCTGCGCCTCACCACACTCCTGGCCTTTTTTCACACCTGCTGCTTCCAAAGTGCCAAGTCCACAGGGCGGGGCCACCTCAGGAATGATGGTGTTTGCTTGGGCCTTCCAGGTGCCCCTGCACCTGGGTGTTGGGCTTTCTGCTTGGTCCCACCTGGGACGGATTGCGTGCTGGGGACACAGGTGCCAAGGGTGACCTAGTTCCAGCAGAGCCGCTGCTGTGGGCCAGAAGCCATCCTTCCCTGCGAGGCTGGTGCTGGAGCCACTCCAGCAGCACAGCCAGGCTGACCATCAGTGCCCAGGTCAGTGCCCGGGTCAGTGCCCGGGTCAGTGCCCAGGTCAGTGCCCAGTGCTCTAGCAGAGACACAGCCCACCAAGCTGCTGAAGAGAAAAGCCACAAGTGTGCAGAGACCCCACGACCCAGGGACACAGATGCCCTCCACTATCTTCCTGTGGGTACCCCAGACTTCCTCCTCCCCCTACAACCACCCTGTGCCTCCCCAAACCATGTAGTGGCTGTAAAGTGTCCCCAAGACAAAACCCAATGCTGGGATTTAGACTAAAGGAGGTGATTGGGGGGCCCTGGGGCCTGAGAGACCAGAGGGCTGTGGGGGATCTGGGGACCTAGGGACCTGGGGGCCACCTCTGATCTCCTCTCAACCTCGTTTTCTTCTTCCCTTTTGTATTATCTCTTTTTATTCAACTGCACCCCTTCTTCCTTGTCCCCAGATCAGTTTCCCAGCGCTTGCATGTCCTCTTGGCCCCACCAGAGACAAACCTGGAAACTCCTTGAATCCTTGCAAGATGGGCTGAACTAGGCTGAGGGTGCCACAGGCCACACACCTGCTCCCCCAGGTCTGCGGGGCCAAGGGATCAGGACAGGCTGCCCGCTGCAGGGTCCTCATACAAAAGCATGGCAAACCACTCAGAATCGGAAGGCTGGTCCAGTCCGTACTCATTCCGTCTTCCGGGGCCATCCTAGGTGACTCTGGACCTGCAGCGCCAAAGGCTGATGAGCACAAGTCCTGGACACCTGATGTCACCCCCCCACCCTGGACAGAGGCCAAGGCTGTGGGCATCTTCCAGCCTCTCTGCCTGGCCCCTGGCTCCCTGGGCAGGGATGTCTGGCCAGAGGCAGCAGGGAGGGGGTCACATAGGCCCATGGCAGAGGGACCCCTCTCCAGTGGCCGTGCCAGGTGGCGAGGCTGGACGTCACCGTTGCAGAATTTCCTGGGAGGAAAGTGCATTCTGCCCTATGAAGCCCACTTGACATAAATGAAGGCAGATATCAGAGGCCTCCCTCTTTAAAAAGCCCAATAATCATCCCATAGAGCAACACAGCACTAGAGAATGCAAAGCACAGATTCTCCCAAACAGGAAAAATGAGGTGATTCAGTGAAGAAAAGTGTAGAAATCACAATAAATCTGCAGCTGCTCTAAACTTGCTTAACAAAAATGAATAAAAATTCACAAAGCAAAAGACATTTGAAAGAGTAGCAAAATGATAAAAGCCCAGTATCAGGTAGAGGTTTTACCACTCTCTCTCTTTTTCTGCCAGTTTATGCAGAAAAATACAAAGCTACATCATAGGATATATGAACACCAAGATAAATTCTTGGGTTTATTATATATTTATCAAATACACCCTGATAACTAAAAAGAGTCTGTTTTCCAGCACCCCAAGAACATTCACCAGCAAAGAGCTCATATTAACCAACAAAGCCTCTCAATAAATCCTGAACAACGAGCCCCATGAGACAGATTTGCTGAGCCCAGCAGAACGAAATCAGAATGATTAGAGGCAAATTACAAACAGAAAACTCTTAGAAGTTGCCAAAAAAATTGCCCCGTACCATTCCTGGGTGGGAGAGAAAACAAAATTCTGATCAGACAGGCTGTCTCGCGATGAAGGACAAAAGAACGGTACCTTCACAGCACTGCAGAGTGACCACCGTGTCTTAGTCGCTTTTCTCATTGCTGGGACAAGCTAAGGAGAAGAGAGGTTTATTTTGACTCACATTTCAGTCCATGGCTGGCTGGTTCCAAGGCAGGATGGTGTGGCACAGGGGCCTGGCGGAGGAGAGCTGCTCACTGCATGGAGGACAGGAAGAGTGGGAGGGGGAGCTGGGGAGAGAGAGGACCCCTTCCAACCAGACCCCACCTCCTAACTGCACATCAGCAGTCAGCCCCCATAATCCAACCGCCTCCCTAAGGGCCCACCCATGAGACCACGAGGCTCTGGGGCCCGTGTTCATATGAACCGTAACACAGAATCAGTGCCCAGGTACGGCAAGGATCCCGGAGTGCTGTGGCACAGGGGGCTGAGTTCCAAAGTCTTTCTCCTGAGAACCCACAGCCCAGCCCAACCATGACAGAAACACCAGAAAAGTCCAGGTGAGGGACATTCTGCAGAACCCTGAAACAGAATTCTTCAGAACCATCCAGAGCACAGAACAGGAAATTAAGAACTGTCACAACCAAGGCCATGTGAGTACTAAGCAGGAAGACAATGGGTAAAGACAGAGAGCCTGAACAAGCCATGGATTTCAGTTGATAAGAATGTACAAGAACTGGTTCATTAACTGGGACAAATGTTCCATGCAAGAACAGGGGAGCTTGGGATGGGGCCGGAGGGATACTGTGCGACTGTCTCGGTTTCTCTGTAAACCTATATTTGTTCTAAAAATTAAAGTCTGGAGAAAATTAAGGGCAATGAGAAAGATTAATCACATTATTACGATCTGTATTGTGGAATAGCATGGATCATTAAAAATGGGTTAAACTTCAAGTATTGATGGAAAAGGAAACCCACAGTATGATGTTAAGTAAAAAAAAAATATTAATAATATGCAAGGTGGTGTTTAGACTGTGGCCTCCTCTTCATTTAGAATGCCTGTGGCTGGGTCCAACTTGTCCTTGCGCAGATGTAGGGTCAGTGACAGTCACCCATGTGCTTCCAGTGTTCACACGTCCCAACCTGTGCCCGGGCAGGAAGCACCACACCATGAGAAGGGAGGGAGGGTTGTGTAGGGTCAGAATCCCTTACTCAAAGCATGCTGGAGTCGTATCACCCTTTAAAAGTCACTTCAAGCATGCAACATTATGTGACCACACAGAACAGCTCTGTGGCATGGCTCAGAGGAAACTCATAGCCAGGAACCCCGGTCGTTAATTGGGGCAATGAAGAAAGATCAACCAATGATCAGCTCTCCCAGGGCTCATCCGTGAGACCTGAGCTTGGAGTCACCAGCACCCCGAGATGAGTCTCCTTTCTGGTATCCTTAAGGGGCCTCAGGGCCGAGGTGGCTGCTGAAAACAGGCCTGGGGTGGCATGGAGCCCCAGAATCAAACCAGTTCTTCATTAGTGGTGGGAACCCAGACACAGTTAAATCCCCCACAGTGAGGTCTGTACGTGAGACCTGGGAGAGGTGTTTGCAGGACGACTTCAAGGGAACCTGCGGCCACACCTAGTCAGGACAGAAGCAAACTGAGAGGTGTCCCATGGAGGCAACTGCACTCACAGGTGACAGAATAAATTCAAATAAAGGAAACCACAGAATCCAGAATGAAAATAATAAAGCAGAAAATGCACCTACAAGAGAACCCAACCAGATAATGCTTTGAAAATACTTTCAAAATATCACCTGAAAACACTACAGAGGTACATTAAAGGCAAATCGATAAGCAGCCCAGAGCTTAAGTGAATTTGCGTGTGGGGGTGGTACTGGGGATTGAACTCGGGACCTTATGCTTACAAGGCAGGTGGCAGCACCCTGAGCTAAATCCCCGGCCCTTAAGTTAATTTTTTTTTTGGTACCGGGGATCAAACTCGGGTCCACAGGCCACCAAACCACTGAGCTAAATCCCAGCCCCTAAGTTAATTATTTTAAATGTTCAAAATAGTTGAGCCTTTGGGCAAAATGGGACAACTCCATAGAAAACTGTAACTTGGCAAAACTGAGTCAAGGAGGAAAATATAGGAAGATGGAGTAGCTGTAAAACTTTTAAAAAATTAAAGCAAAAGCTAAAAATGTTCTCATCAGTGATCACAGAGCCCAGATGACTCTTGTATAAACCCAACTACTTCTATGTGAGCCACACAACTTGACCCAAACCCAGAACACACAGGGGGGATGAGCCACAGATCCATCACGCACCCGTGGACTCAGATGCCAAAACCTGAACCAAACATTAGAGCAAAAGGCGAGGGGCGGACAGGAGCAGGGCGGTGGGGAAGGCTGGGGAGGGAGAGGCAGAGACAAACGTACTGAACGCCACCGAGCTGCGCACTTAGAGCAGCTAGCAGGGCAAATTGCTCTCCTATTAAACCGCGATAAAAAGAACAGCAACCAAATGCCCTGGATGGTCCTGTCCTCCTACAGGCTCACTCGCAGCTCGAGGCACTGACGGCTGCTGACGCTGGAGCCCCTGTGCATCCCCAGATGAGGAGTCGTCATCGCACTGCGCTCCCATACGCCACTGCATGGGTTCACTGAGTGATCAGCACTATAAATGGAGAGGGGTGAAAAAAAAACAGACATCATAAAATGCAGGAGTGCGAAGGAAGAAAAGACTGTCACTTATCAATTATGCAATTACCTAAATTTAAAACATATGTAATATCCAAAATTGCCAGAATGAATGAGTTCTTAAAATTACCGGATTTGAAAAATCAGTGTGGCCAGGCAAATTTCATTTTCGCACATCAGTAAAAAACAAATATGAATTTTATAAAAGTCAACTTTCATAATAGCAAGCCCAACTGTAGGAATAAACCTAGCAGCACTACCCAAAGCCCGTCTGCACAAAGCCGCGAAGCTCCACAGGAAGATGTGAAAGAATCCAGGTAGCAGGGGTGGAAAACTCCTCCACGGCCCCAGCCCCACCGGCTCCCACCCCGTGCAGATGGGGGTCACAGCCTCACTGCGAAGCCTCTGAGCCCCACGGCCTCCCATCAGCGTCTTCAGAGAGCGGTCTCCCCGTGCGAGGGCAGCAGGACAAAAGGCCAAAGGTCCGGTGTGCAGCAGAACTTGCCCCAGAAGGCAGCAAATGATTGGGACCTGCGGTGTGGCCCCTCCTGGGCAAACAGCGCCCTTTGCTGCATCATCGTGACACACAGGCACGCTGCCAGGCCTGCCGGGATTGTGGCTGCAAGGGGCAAGTAGGGAGATGAAGCAGAACCAGAAACCAAGTGTCTGTGCAGGGTCTGCCTTCCCAGGGAGATGAAGAGAAGGGTCTGACATGAGGCTGTCTCCCCTCCAGCTCCTTGCAGCCCAGGGGACCCCCAGAGCCTGCCCTGCCCCACCGGGGCCTGCCCACCAACGCTCACCCTTCACACGCCGTGCCGGTGCCTAGTCCTGACGTCTCCCGTGAGCGGTGCAGTGCTGGCCCCTGGCCTAGCTGCACCGGCTTGGTCCAGGCCTTTCACCCTGCTGCTCTCCCAGAGATGGGCCTGTTAGGATAAGTGACTGAACAGCTGGTGCAGCAGGGTGACCCGCACCAGAGCCGACCTGGCTTCTACGCGTCCCCAGCACTAGAGGGCGCTCAAGTCCCCTCAGCCCCGCTGCTGGCGTCCTGACAGTGGAGACCAGGAGGACGAGATGGTGCTGCTCCCTGGACCCAGCCTTGATGGCGGACTCTCAGTCAGCTACTGGGGCGTGAGGTGCAGGCCGTTCGATTAAATGCCACTCTGCAAGTGTCTGTAGGGCGCTCCTTTGGTTGATGGACGGCGTGAGCTCTGGCCTCCCGGGGTGGGCGGCCCTGTCCAATCCTGGAGGCCTGTACAGAGTTAAAGGGAGGAAGCAGGGACTCTGACCTCTCAGTGCCCTGTTTGGGTTGGGGCAGGGTCTCCTACCCTCAGGGCTCCTGGTCTGCAGCCTGCAGACAGGCCGGTCCTCTGACCTCAGGACAGCTCCGCTAAGTCAGAAACACCATTCAGCATGACACCACACTGTGCAGAGGCAGCCAGCTCGGAGCCCACCCCCCACTGCGCCCGTGATGACACCACGGTGTATCTGAGTCCCCCTGAGCATGTTGACCAAACCAGGCCCCAGTAGGCACTGGGTACCGTGTTGAGCCAGGAATCGCAGGAGAGAAGCAAGCACCCTGGAGCCCACCCACAGAGCAAAGACGCCCACCTGGGCTGCTGTCCTCTTGCAGAAACCATGTCATCTGGCATTGCAGGAGGCCGGGGACACCCGAAGGACCACGCAGACACTTCTGGGAGGCAAAGTGAAAGCACGAAGCACATCCTCAACCGCAGCATTCCGAACCTGGCCTTGTCTCCTCTCCCTGCAATGAGGCAACCTGGTTTCCTGGGGCGCCCCACCGCTCACCCTGTGTGGTGAGGCCGACTTCCCACCACAGTGCACCCAGACATCTTCTTGCTCAGGAGAAGGAGCAGCCACCCAGAGCTGGGGCAGCCTCCCTACCCTACTGCTGATGGTTGGAAACAGAGGCCTGTCCAGTCGAGAGGGACACAGATTTGGGGCTGAGTGCTAAGCACCTGCAAACCCTGCCCTGCACTGAGAGGCCCAGGGAGTTTTCTTAAATGAAATTCTCTGGAGCCATCTCCTCAGTCACCCCTGTGAGATGAAACCGAGATCTTAGTGCGACTGCCCTGACCCTGCCCTGCGTGAACTTCCTCTCCCAGATGGGGAGTGAGCTCCGTCATCTCACAGACAGAACCCACGCAGCCACACAGCTCACTGTCCCCCAGACCCAAGTCACAGCCCTCGCAAGGCCCAGGGCCTCCCAATGTCACAGCCACCATGGAACAGCCAGGGCTCAAGCCCTGAGCCAGCAGCCACCCCCAGACCAGCCTCCTCCAGCTGACAGGCAGCAGGATCTGCCCAAAACACACTGCCTTGGCACAAAGATTTTTTTTTTTTAATTGAAAGCGATTAGGAAAAGCAGCTCTAAGAAAAGCCACGTGCCCCAACGCAGGACATGGATATACATCAGTCCCAGGGGACAGACCTGTCATAGTGTTGGTGCCATAACAGAGCAGAAATAAACACATCACACAGGTGCATAATTAAAATCACATCTTCTAACAACACGCTGGAGACGCTGACATGTCAGGGTAAGCAGAGGCCAGCTCACCGTGCCACTGCACTTAAGCATTTATCACTCCCGAGTTTGACTGGTGCCCCAGACTCCTGCTGTGCACAGCCACCTCTCTTTTCTGCTGGTGACAAGATGCCCTTGCTGAGGAACCATGGACAAGGACGGTTGACCAGGTGATGCGTGCACGGAGTAGACACGTCCTGCAGCCCGAGAAGGGCTCGTCCCCTCTCTCGGGCAGCAGCCCCTGGGTCACCCCCGCACCGCTGATTCACAGATTCTACCTCAGGGATCCCTCATGCCTCCAGGTGGTCCTGGACAGCTTCCACCCTAGTGAAAACCCGGAAAGAACGACTCTAGAGGACTTGACTGTTTTCACCCCCAATCAGGTGGCCCCTGATTTATCTGGGGAACCCAGATGACACCCACCGCCCACTGGCTTCTGAGACATCCGTCTTGCCACCCGTCCACCCCCTTGGTTCCTTTAGGGACTGGGCTCCCGGACAGGGCCAGGCTCCGTGGCGCCCAGCACTATTCTCTCTGGGGAGGAGAGTTCCATGCTATCTGCTGGGTGCCGCTGAGCCACCGCCTTTGTGGATAGCAGGACGTGGGACTCTAACGTCAGCCCACATCCCACGCTCCAGACCAGCAGTGTTGAGCAGGACTGTGGATTCGCCGTCACATTACCCATGATGTATTTCTGTCTGTGAGAGAACAGAGCCCACTTGCTGCACTGTAGAGCAAGGCTAGTGAGGTCTGTTTGGGCAGCTGAGGCAGAGGACGTTCTCACCAGCAGCCTCCTCCACGAGGTCCAAACACAGGACTGGACTTCTCATTTCATCCATGGACACAGAGCTCAGGGTCCATGCCTGGGAAGTGGGGGTCAGACCCAGCCAAGTGGTCACGCAAAACAGTGGAACATGGGACAAGCTCCAAGAGGGAGGCTCCTGTGGGCATGGATGGCATCGGGGACCGGGAACCGGGCTGAGCCCCGAAGCACACACGCCACCTGCTGGCTTAGTGTCACCTCGTCCCATGGCTTCACCCACCCAGAGCCCGGGGTCCTCTACCCCCAGTGAGCCCTGAAGCCCCACCCCCATGGAGACCTTGGTGAAGCCACACCAAGCACTACACTAACGTGACACAGTGACATCTATGACGAGTCAGACAATGGGGTCTGAAGGCTTGGTAGTGTGGGCCCCGCCCTGAAGGCAGGGACCCTACCCCTACCCCAGGTCCTGTCCTCCCCTGGGATCAGGGCTCTGAAAGACTCCACAGCCTGATAGAGTTGCTTTGCTCCTGGGGACAGCAGAGGGCACTATCTCACCTGGGTCCTTGGCCACCTGTGGCTCAGTGTCCCCTCTCAGGAGCCCAGGATCCCAGAGAGGATAGGACCTTGCTGTAGTGGGTGAATGCTTCCCACCCATGTCTGAACCCCCAGAGCTGGGCCCCCTGGACCTCACTTCTGGCACCAGCCGTAGCCCTCCCAGGCCTTCCACCTTCTCCTCGGTTTCTGCCTTAACAAATCTGAATGCACCACTGACCACAGCCAGCATGGGCCTTGGTCCATGGCCTGGAGGCCCCTACATTCCTGTGGCTTCAGGGCACGGGGACAGGGTGGCAGCACGTGGCTGTGCGTGAGGACCACAGATGGGTGCACTTGCCCAAGCTAGCTCCCTGGGGAGGCCTGGACTCTGAGTCTGGGGACAACAGGGGCAGTCAGGTGCCACTCCAGAATGCTGAGAAGTCATTTCTGTCATTTCTAAGCCACTTGGTTTGGGAGGTTTTGCTATGGTAGCCAGAACGGGTGGGCCAGCAGGTGTGTGCATAAGTACTGCATGGCTTAGGTCTGAAGCGTCCCGAAAGGTTCTCGGTGTTGGAACTGCTCTTGCTTAAGATGGTCAGATGCAAGGGCTCCAGCTTCACCAGTGGATCCATCTACGGGCGGCCTTCCTGGGAGGCACTGGAAACAGGGGGCAGGTCTGGGTGAAGGGACTGAGTCGAGGGGCCGTGGCCTTGGCGACCCTAGCTGGTCCTTGGTCCCTCCTCTCTTGCTTTTTCTCTCCCGCCTCCTGGCAGCTTTTCCCCCATGCCTTCTGCCATGATGTTTTCTCCTCCCTGAGGGTGTGGACAGTGGAAGCAGCCAACCATGGACTGAAGCCAGAAGTCAAGATAAACCTCTCCTCCTTAGAGTAGCTTTCCTTGGGTATTTTGTCACAGTGACGAAAACTTGACTAACGTGTGTATTATGTTATGGATGTGCGTGCAGGCCGGGTGTGGTGGCTCATGCCTGTAATCCCAGCACTTGGAAGGCTGAGGCAGGAGGATCCCTGTGAGTTCGAGACCAGCCTGGGCTGCATAGTGAGTTCCAGGTCAGCCTCAAATACATGTGAGACTACTGTCTCAAAAAAACAAAAAAAAGATGTGTGTGTAGATACATTTCCTATATGCATGCTTGTGTCTGTGTGTCTTAGCAGAGAATACAAATGCTGTGGAATAAACTGTCAAATCATTCTAATTCTTTTCAGACCATTTTGAACCCGCTTCACTGTAATTAGGCAATATAAGGACACCCACTTTAAGAGCCAAGTCCATGAGTTTTGCCTGATGTGTTTGTGACATGCCCAGCACCAGCATTAAGAAATGGAACACATTTCACCCCCAAGGTTGCCCCAGTCCCCTCTCCAGCTGCCTCCCTCAAGCAAAGATTTGCTTTCTGTCACTGTGACTTGGATTTCTCTCAAGCATAATGCAGATAGAACCATGGGTGTACACTCTCGCCTCAGGCTTCTGTCACACAACATGCTTTGAAAATCATGGTGTCACTACATGTATTAGCGTATTCATCACTTTCCCATTGCTGTGACAAAACACCTGACCTCTGAAATGGAAAGGAGAAGAGGTTTAATGTGGCTCACAGTGTGGGGGATTCGGTCCATGGTCACTTTGCTCCCAGGTAGAAATGGCACGGCGGAGGGGACTGGTGAAGGAAAGCTGGAGACAGGAAGCAGAGAGAGACAGGAGGAAGGGAGGAGCTGGGGTGAGCATACACCCTTCGGTTACCCCCTCCTCCAACCGGGTCCTGACAGCACATCCAGCCAGGAGCTCATCAGTGGATCAGTCCACTGGCGTGTAGATCCACCTGTGACCTGGTCATCCCCCTAAAACCTCACCTCAAAACATATGGGACCTTTAGGAGGACAATTTAGATCTAACTGTAGCACTGCATTTAAATCCTTTTCATTTCTGAGTAGTTTTGTTACAGCGACACAGACCAATCCTCTGTGGAGACACAGTCGCCGTTAATAGTCATGCGGATTCTTTGCAGCTTTTAGCTCTTTGGACAAATCTCTTGTGTTTTCTTTTTTCTGGAGTAAATGTCTAGGAATGTAACTGCTATGCTGCAGATGGCAGGGTGTGTGTTTATCTTTGTAAGA